CAAGATTAATTAATAATTTATTAATATACTAACTGAATAAGTCTAGTATATATTTATATTTCTGAATAAAAAAATTAAAATAAAGATTAATCTATAAATAAAAATTAATTATAAGATCTTATTCTTCTTAGCTACAGCTCTGATTAATTATTTTAAATTAATTTATAAAAATCTAGCTTAATAAAAAAAAATTATTAATAAGTTATTTATTCTTAAGCAGAAAAATTAAATAATTAATAATTTTTTAATAGAAGTTAATAGCCTGCTAATTAAAATTAGAAAATATAATTAAAAAAATTTAAATAAAAAAAATCTTTTATATTAAATTTTAAATAATAACATCTGCTGACAGATAATAAATATTAAATAGAAACTAGATTTTAAAAACTTTTACTGATAAGTTAAACAGATAATTAATAAATTTATAAAAATAAATTAATTTTTAGAAAAGTAACTAGGATACTTTAATATCTAGATAAATAATATTTTTAAAAAAATAATTATAAATAATATTATAAATTAAGAGTTTATAGTAATAAGTACAGGACCTGTTTAATAAATCTAATAAATATTAAAAAAAATATTAATTAAATATTATAAGATAAGACTCTACTTATATTACAGATTTTTAAAATATTATATTATTAAATATTCTTATCTACTACTACAGTACTTCTAAGACTTGAAAAACAAAGTCTATTAAATTTTATTTAAAGATAATCCAGCTAGTAAAATTAGCTAAATATTAAAAAATCTAATTATTTAACAGATTCTTATTCTAGAAAAAATATAATTTCTTTAGATTATTATTTAGAAAGGCATACACTAGTTAATTATAATTATAAAAAATTTAAAAAAAAAATTTAAGAATTTAAAGACTACCATACCTTCTCTATATTAAAATTAATTAATAGAATTTATTTTATAAATATTTTAATTAATACTAATTATATATCTTATAGAATAATCAGTTAGAACTTTATAAATAAAAATAAACTAGAATATATTTCTATCAAATCCCAAAATATTAAAGAATTTGAGGGGGGGAAAGCTTATATAATTAAATTAATAAAAATATTATTAAATATAAGTAAAAACTTACAGAAATATATATATCTTTATATTCTGTTATATATATATAAGTATAATATTATATTAAAATTTTTATAAATAAAATATTAGAATATAATATTTTAAATTAAAAACTTTATACTTAATATCCAGAGCACAGGAGTGGAAATATAATATAAATAAAAATAAAATTATTTTTTAATATTATTTATAATTTCTGCTAATATGTAATGCACTTAAAAAAATTAAAAAAAGAAAAAAAATTTAATAGAGCTGTTTATAGTAAGTCTGATAAATATTAATAAAATCTTTTATAAATTTAATTAATTAAAAGATTTTGTAAAAGTAGAAAGTAAGCTACTAAATTTTTATTATAAGTATCTGAATATTTTTAATAAAATAATAATAAATATTTTACTATTTTATTACCCGGGGGTGGACCATGCTATTAAAATAATTAAAAATATTAAAAAAAAAAAAAAGAAGATTTTTTAGAGTTTTCTTTATTAGATAAATTAACTAGAATTCTTAATATTATAGAAGACTCTGATTAATTTTTTAGAAAAAGAATTTATAAGAATTAATAACTTTCTGGTAGCCGTGCCTGTATTATTTACTTTAAAATTTAATAATAATTTATATTTTTATATAGATTACTGAGCATTTAATTAAATAATTATAAAGAATTAGTATCTTTTATTATTTATTTAAGAAATCTTTTAATATATTTTAAAGATTTATTATTATATTAAACTGGATATTATCCAGGCCTTCTATTATATTTAAATTAAAAAAAAAGATAAATAAAAAATTGTGTTTTATATTTATTTTAAATTATTTAAATAACTGGTAATCCTGTTTAGGCTTATTAATTATTTAAATATATTTTAATAATATATTAACTGGATTTTATAAGAATTCTTTAATAAATTCTGTTTTATTTATATTAATAATATTTTTATTTTTACAGACAGAAGTCTAGTTATATATTATATCTAGATATAATAAATATTAAAATACTTATAGAATACAGGCCTCCAAGTAGATATTAATAAATATAAATTTAAGATAACTATTATAAAATACCTGGGATTTATTATTAAAATAAAGAAAGAGATTTATATAGATTTTATTAAGATCCAGGTTATATAAGATTAAGAAATATCAAAGATTATTTATAATATTAAGATCTTTTTAAAATTTATTAACTTTTACCAGTAGTTTCTTAAGGACTGGAGAACTTATTTAAAATCTTTAATATAATTTATTAAAAAAGATATTAAGTTTAGTTGGATACCAGAGATCTAAAAAATATTTAAAATCTTTAAAAAAATCTTTATTATTATCTTTATTCTTATATATTAGGACTCTGAATGAGAAATACTAGTAAAAATTAATTTCTTTAAATAATATATAGAAAAGATATTATTTTAGTAGGATAATTAAGAAATTCTTTATCTAATAATATATTTCTTAAAAAAAAATTTATTTATAAAATATAATTACTAGATTTATAACAAGAAATTGCTGGTAATTATCTAAATTTTATAAAAATAAAAGCCGGAGTTTATTATATTTTTCTATTTTAAAATTCTTAGTAATTATCAGAATCTAGAATATTTTATAATCTAATAATAACTTATAGAATAATAAATATATTAGACCTAGTTCTTGAATTATTTTAATTTTATAATTAATTATTATCCAGAAATAATAAATATTTAATTAAATATCTTATCTTAAAGATCCCAGAACATGTCTAAGAAAAAAAATAAATATATTATAAATTAAAAAATCTAATTATTTTATTCTATATCTGAAAAAGAGCTTATCTATATAATATTTATTAATAAAATTTTTAATAAAAAAATCCCTGCCAGCCTAGAACCTGAGAAACTAATACTAGATAATTTATAAGAGTAAGTAGAACAGGCTAATAAGAACTTAAAAAAATACTATAAAATAATAATTAAAGATAAGTCTAAATTTTTTAAATAATTAAAATTAAAAGTCTTTATTATAGAGTGCTAGCTAGATATAAGTTAATATTTATTTTTTTAAAAGTAAGTCTGGATTCTTAATTTAAAGCTTTTATAAATTTAGATTATCTAAGAAATTTATAATAATATAATTACTGAATATCCCAGACAGGACTAGACTTATAAAATAATTATTTATTATTATTATTAGCTAAATATAAGTAAAAATATCTACTAGTTTTATTATAATTATAATAGTTATAAGATTAACCATATCTAAAAAGACTGTAAATAAAATTTTTTAAAATTATTATTAATCTCTAATTAATCTTGATAAAATATTATTATTAATTTTCTAATAAATCTTCCAGAATCTTAAGATTATAAAAATATTATAATTATTATTAATTAATTAATTAAAGATATTATTATTAAAGCTGTCCTGAGCATAGATATAAAAGATTTTATAAATATATTTATCTAAGTATTTTATAATTACTATAAAATATTCTAGTTAATAGTTTTAGACTGCAGTTCTTAATTTATAAATAAATTATAAATAATTCTATATAAAGTACTAGATATTAAATAATATTTTTCTATTATTTATTATTCTGAAACAGATGGAGTGATAGAATACTGAATTATAATTATTAAAATCTTTTTATAATACTTTATAAATTAATAATAAATTAATTAATAAAAATTATTATCTTTAGTACAACTAGCTTTAAATAACTAGAATTCTATATTAATAAAAATAAACTTTTTTTTTTTACAGTATAACTTTTATATGAAGTTCTTAGACTTAAGTATTAAAATAGACTCTTTAAAATATAATTAAATTAGAAATTCTTGAAAATAAACTGAAATTATTTTCAGTAAATTTTAAGAAACTTAAAATATTATTAATTTAATAATAACAGTAATACAAGAAATACAGAAACAGTATATTAATTAATAATAAAATTCTGCTTTCTATTATAAAGAAAATAATAAAATTTAATTAAATTTAAAAAATATTATAATTAATTAATCTAGTAAGAAGTTGGACCAGTAGAATATAAAGTTTATAATATTAAAATAAATTAGAATATATATATATAGACTGAATATATTATTTAGAATTTATTTAATATTTTATATTAATTTATTTTAATCTGCTGCTACAGACCCTCTACTTATTTAAAAAATAATTAATTAATAATTAAATATTATTATTACAAAAGACAGCACTAAGAAATATATTATTAAAAAAATTATAAATAAAAAAAATATACTCCAAGAAAAATATAACTATAAAAAAATATTTTTAATTAAATAAAAAAAATATATTAAATTTATATAGAAACTAGTAACTGAGCTTTATAATACTAAGATTTATAAATATTAATATAATTTTATTTATTTATCTTATTTAAAGAAATCTACATCAGCTCAGCTGCATCACGGTAAAAAAAATAATAATTAAAAAAAGCTAGATTCTATTAATTATTTAAAATTAAAATATTTATATTTTAATCTATCTGGTTCTGGACCTTAATCTAGAAATATTTATAAAAAAAATAGAAATTTCTAGAATAAATAAAGAAGTTTATTAGAATTATAAAGAAAAACTTCCAAAAGAGTTATTTATAAGAAGAACTAATCTATCTATAAATTAGATAGTTCTTTTTCTAATAAATTCAATTTCTTTATCAACTACTGTATCTTACGTAGTCCTCCCGGCTTCTTAGCCTGTCATACTATGATGTACCTTGTCCTATGAGCACCTGAATTGAGGACTAGAACAATACCGGCCATTCATCAATTCATTGTGAATGACAATCAAGAGAACACAATGTTTCCCTGATCAAAATTGAAAAGGCCACACCACGTGACGTTGTTGGTCGTTACGGAGATCTCCCTGTTCTCAAAGTTCCCATTATTACCATCTTGATAGCGACAACCATGGCTTCCCGTACTTATAATCAAAAACCACTATTCGATACTCGACTAGACTTTGAATTCGGGGCCTGGAAAGTCGGCAGAATTCTCTCAAGCAAAATTCGGAAGCAGGAAGACCCACAAGGTGGCTTTACGTATGAGCGACATGAGGTTTATGATGCTACAAGAGTTGATCAACCTTCCAATACGCCAGATGTCATAAAAATTAAAAAAGCAGTAAGTTTACACTGTTGATTAAAGTATAAAAAGGACCACAAGGAAGGAACAAATTGGACTAACATCAATAGAATCACGTTTTGGAGTAACCATAGATATTTTGAGCCTAGTGACAGTGTTTACCGCGAAATATATAATCTATCACAATTAGAAGACTGCAGGAGGATACCTAAGCTTCTTGGGTACGCTTTCGAACGACAAGACTCTAGCGGTGAATTACCAGGCGGGTACATTGCATATATTGTGATGCAGAAGGTCCCTGGGGAGAATCTACATGGCTTCGACACACTTCCAAGAGAGGAGCAAAACCGAATTCGAATTGCCTTTATTGAAGCGTTATGGTATGCATGTTCTATAACTTCCGGGACAGAAGACTCCGAGGTGGACACATTTCCGAATTAGAGCCCTGCTAACGGACCTACAGGGAACTGCAGTCCCGCCATTTCACTCATTGGGATCCACGAAGAGAAAATATTATATAGGAGCCCCAAAGTGGACAATGGTACGCGATCCCCCCTTGATTGATCATTCGATCCCTGATGACTTGCTACAGTTTTATCGTGGATCTTGAAGATGCCGAGCAACATACCGATCGAACAAAGGATGATGTGTGTCTAGACGCAATGGAACAATTGGAGTACTGGGGTCTAATTGAAGGATAATATGAGGGTGTGTTGTTCTTTGAGAAGGATAAATTATTGGAGGACTTGAAATTCCGACTATATATCAAGTAATCAGCTAATGTTAAAACTACATAATTACTTGCGGTCTTCATCTCGCTCAGACATTGTCAAGTAACACATATAGTATCACGTGTGATGATATAGTGAATGACCTATCATATAAAAGGTTCAGTATACTCAGCGCACGACCATATCTGGTGTATCAACATGAGGAGACTAGATCTGCCTATCATCAGATGTTGGGCTGATCTCAATGCCGAAAGCTTTAGGAGGGCGGCACCGCCCCTTTCACAATTTTAGTATATCTCTTGAATGATGCACTTGAATGTGAATAGAGTGATGTTGTTAGAAATCCGGAACTTATCCCTCATCACACTACAAAGCGAAGGATTACATTCTGCCGGGTCATATCTATAAGAGCAAACTTTGATCAGTTCTGCATTTGTGCGGAAGCAGTAGCAAATACCACCCTGTTAGCCATTGTTTTGGCGGGAATACTTACTATTTCGCACATCTTGCAGGTATTTATCCGAAGAATGAAGCATAAGAAGTTAGAATGCTAACTGCGGATCTCATAGTAAAGTTTCTGATCGCGAGTCTGCTTGGCACAAAGCATAGGAGGATGACTATGTAGAAATTGTTTCAACTAAGTTCAAGTCTGACTCGGCTACCGGTTTAGTGCTATAAAGGATCTCCTATTCAAAGGTTTGCGAGCTGTTGCTGATTTCATGTAACAATCCCGGGATCTGTCCTAATAAAACACATTCTGTTCACTCATGAGTCTATATCTAAGCAGCCGCACAGTCCTTGACTAGATTTTCGATCTGAGTATTTTTCTCCTTAAAGACCGGCCCAAGAGATTCTATAGTCTCATCCGGGATATCTCGCCGGGCTGCGGCCATAGTTCCGTATTCCTCAGCAGAGCGCTGCCCAACCAGAAGGAGAGTTGTCAAAATCGTGGCGACACGATTGTCAGGATCCTCCACAATCTCATAGATACTATCAGCCACAATAGCAGTGTCTCCAACTACTGTCGCAACTCGGGACACATCCAGGAATATATCACTGATAGCGTCTGCCTCGCCAACAAAAGGAATAGCCAGGAAGATGGCGCTGATGATATCTTCAATCATTTCCTTTTTCTTCCAGGCTTCTTCTGCCTTCCCAATTGCCACGACTTCTTGCATGGAACTGACTGCCTGAAGGAGAAGCTCCACCGCAAATGAGATACTCTGTATGATGTCGTCCGTGAAACCGGGCCAAGATCCCAGCAAGATCTGCAGCTGTACCGCTAGGATGTTGGCCTGCAGGTTGTCCAGATTTGGTAGGGCTTTCTCGACCACTACCCGGGGATCGGTGATGTTGACATAGTCGGCCTTCTTGGGTATGTTGTAATATGTGACGACAGAGTCATGGCACGAAGGGGCCAGGATACTCTCTCCATCGCAGAGATAGGAGTCCTTCTCGGTACCGTACTTGAACCAGTCGGGCTGGATGCCGTAGTCCTCCAGTAGCATTTCCTCGAATTTCGTGGAGTTCTTGACCTCATAGTATACGTTGAAAATTCCAGTAGCGCTGTAGTTGGGACAGCTTGTCGCGGACTCGTTCTTGCCCTTCCATTCGATGACGCAGTCAAAGTAAGACAAGCCCGGTCCGGCAGGTGCCCATTCCATGACACTAGCGAGAGTGGAGGTGATATTACTCTCGACGTATTCCTTGTAGTACTTCAGGGTCTTGTTGTAGTTGTTGTCGGCCATAATCTCCGTATAGTTTGCCACCACTTCGTCGATCAAATTGTACAACACGGTCAACATATAGTAGGGAATGCACTCATCCTGCATGTAAGCACTTTGGATGTCCAGGTCCTCAAGCGTAGATATAGTCAGGCTATAATTACACGGCGAGGTCACTTCGCACCAGGACCGTGTGTCATCGTCCGTACAGGAGAATTCGTCACTATATGAGTAATCATCGCCAAGTTCGCACTGGTCATAGCACCTGTCACGCTCGCAGGCAAAGTCGCATAGACCATAGTCGTCATCGCCAGAGATCAGATGGGCTGTGGCACTGCTGTTGACCACGGAAAACAGGTCGAGCGCCCCAGTCTCGGTGCAGTTGCAAGCATGGATGGGACAAAAGCCGTGTGCGCAACCAAAAGCACAAAGATTAACGAAGTCGCCAGTGCCCTCACCGGCGGTGCATGCTTTCGCAGCGAAGTCGGACACTGTAGGAACCGTAAGAGTTACTTCGACCGTCCCGCACGCAGTACTCGGACAGTAACCATGATTGCAGTCAAACGAGCACAGGCCACTGTAGCTAGCATCTTCGCCAGAGATCGGATAGCCTTCGACCCCGGTCTCTTCCGGTACAGTTGGTGGCGGGCCAAGTTTGGAACAAACACAAGCAGTGATTGGACAGTAGCCCCAAGAACAGGCCGCGGAGCAGAGCCCGAGAAAATTGCCAGCACCCCAACCCTCGATACATGTCTCATTGGAAAGTGATGTGGCTGGAGTTACACTGACCGTGCTGGAGGACATACTGCTCCCAACCCAGGCATTCCAATTTTCGATATCAGAAGCAGCAGCGCAGCCGGACGAGATTGTTTGCCCGTCTATACTGGCAATTGTAGCTCCACCGCGACTAATTGTAATGACCACCGCACCGGAATGACCAGAGAATGACACGCTGCCATGATAAATCCCAACATCACCGCTGGGGGTTGCGGTCCATGAGGCCCCAAGGTCAGTGCCACCAACGGACACCGTGATATCGGCCTGAGATCCGAGAAGAGCCGAGTAGAAGATCTTGTCTTGCACAATCTCATAAGGCCAGTACTCAACCTGAAGCTCACTGACTGTATTACCAGTGGTTCCTCCATCAGAGGAGCAGGCTCCAGCTTTATTCAGGCGATACCAGCCAGTCACACCTTCTTGGGTGATGGTAGATATGTTGTTTTTATATGTTTCAATCACATAGGGAAGGAAATCGCGCCACCCATCATGTGGCATGTCGAGGACATAATTGTAAGGCGCCAGTCCGATATCAAAGGCAGTGTATGTCTTGTTGGCTAGAGGATCATCTGATGACTTTATCGGACCGATATAATGAGATTCGCCAAAATCATTCCATGAAATGATCTCAATGAATTCCGGCGCGACAAACAACGCCTGGTTCCACCGATCGAACCACATGTCGTCTCCTCGCCAAAGCCAATTCTTGTCATAACCCGGCAGGTTAGTGAAAAACCACGGCGAGACAGGCATCATATAGGGCTTGCCCTCGAGGTAGTTTATATAGGAGGCATCGGTGTATGTATCCATATCCGCAGGACCATCTGGCCAGGCAGCCCAACTAAACAGCCCATCAGCGACACCATCAGCTTGCTCCATTGCTTCCATGGCTCCAAGTGATGACCAGTCTGGTATGAAGAAACAACCTGTTTCTGACTTGATATCCACCCAGTCTTCTGCGTTGGCAGGGCCTTCGAACGTAGAGACGAAAGGTTTATCATTGTAATAAAAGTACGCATTTGGGGAGTTATAAGTGCTGATATAGTCGATCACATCGGCTTTATTCCAAGCGCCGTTTCCAGCATAATCAAATGAAAAGAAGAGGTAAAAGCCGACATTTTCAGCAGCGAGGAAAGCATTTGCCACGGAAGCAGAATTCACATCCTGATCCGCAGCGATATTGAGTGCAAAAGCATCGATCTTTGCCTCAATGGCAAGGGCCATTTCAGACTCCCAGTCATCGACAGTATAGCCTTCCGTGTTAGACACCTACTAAGATATTAGAATCTTGCTCTAAAAAATGCGACCGGACTTGCAGAGGGAGACAGTATGTACCATGAAATGAGCAAAGACCGCTCTCGCATGAACATGAGAGAGTAAAAAAAGGAAGAGAACGACGACAGGCCCCATCAGAGGGAATGGAAAAGGAAAATGTTTCATGTTAAAGAATGACTGCTCCCCCAAGGCCACGAGGTAACGCTATAACAAAGGGTTATCAGAGGACAAGAAAAGTGCGGTAGTCCATAGAAGAGACAAAAGAAGGAATGAACAGAAAGACACAAACTTGAGCATGTGAAGTGTTCTGGCGCTCTTATTATATGTTATATTGCCATCCAGTCAGGACAACAAATTTGGACGACCATAAAAGCGTAAATTAAGATAGCACAATGTGCGGGATTTTTCATACGGTACAAATGCATGGACTTGCTCGGTGAACGTAGCATTGGCTAATTGACGAATTCTTCTCAGACGGTTCTAATTAGCTAGCACTTGAAAAACTGGCTACACTAGACTTCAACTCGTGCCTCTTCGGGGCCAATAATGTTGACTCTGCGATTTCCTAGCTCGATGTGACGCTAGCAATTAGCGTGGCAGCCGGGCTCTGTCGTCTTCTTCCCCCGAAGATGCTTTTTCCTAAGTAGGCCATATTCCGACACTACTGTTATCCTTTCAAAGACCAAGGAGAAAACCTCGATAATTGACGAAGGCTGATATCGCGGCAGCAATGCTGGTGTTCTGGCCAAGGCTGTGCAATAAGAATGCCACATTCGCCGGGTACGAAATCCCTCGAACGGAGCAGTCGTCTTTCTCTCTCGTTTCTTCCGATTACTCCTCAGTCGAACCAGACATTCGTCATCGATTTCTAAGGCGAGAATCATAAACAACATTCTTTCTCTTCTTATTATATTCCTCCAACATGAAGGTCTTTCATGTGCTTTTGTGCGCCGTTTTTTGGGCAGCCCTTGGAAAAGCCTCCGACCAGGCCATACTCTTCGAGTTCTTGTACTACTACTACGCATATCAAATTGAAGCAGGCGTATTTTCGGAGTCAGATAGATACATTGCATATAAATGTGTTCCCGCAACCGGCACCATCTGCACCTTCAACCAGTTTCTCGACTGTGTCACTCCGAATGGTCGCTCGCCCAAGGTGATAGAGGCTGGAGACACAACCTCACCCGCCATCAAAGGCGCTGATGAAACATTTTCTGGCATGGTATGGGATTACGAGTATGACCCTGATCACTTGTGGAAAGGTGCAGTGAAATTGAATCACATGGCTGTGACGGCGAGGGTGACCAACCGTATTCAAGAGGCGCGCGGGATTCAAACAGTCGACTCCAACCTCTTATCCAAGGCAAAGGAAGCCCTCGAGGTTGTTCAAGCAAAGCGCTGGAAGGAAAACTTTGAGAAAGTAGCCCCAGACTTTCAGCTCAAATACAAGGGCGTGACTCTGTATGAGACGGAGACTACGGTGGATGGCACTAAAGTCAAAGTCATTGATTGGGTCAAGACAGCTGAAGTCCAGGCATCGAAAAGTTCTTCCAAGTCCAAGATTCTTCTAAAACGGTATCAAGACTGGGTGAAGGGTAATAAGGGCTCTAAGTACCGGCAACATCAGCATATGGCGCGGAACATCGCCGACTTTCGTAATGTTCTGGATGCAGAACCAAGTTGTCGCGCGGAAGTTCACGACTACGTTAGAAGCACTCCCTGAAAAAGTATTACTGTCACCTAGGGGAATATCTTTTGCAAGAGTCGCTCGTGGGCATTGGAGTGAAAATGTGTAATAGCAATTGCTCTGCCGAGCCCGTTTTTGGTCTCCTTTTTGTTTCACATCATCTCATATTGTAATTCCCATACATTATTACCAATATTACTAGACTTTTCACCTTCTGGCGGCGCACTCGCCCCACTTCAAAGATAAGACATTTAACTAATGGCCCCCCCTGTCCTTTTCATTGCCCAACTGCACTCTACTTCTCACATTTCGACATATTGCCCAAAATGCTCGATCAAATCCCCAGTGAGATTCTTCTTGAGATGATACCTTTCTTTACTCCATCTGACTACACTCGATTGATACTTGTCTCCAAGGGCTGGTACGATGTGTTCATCCCACATCTCTATTACCATATCTCACTTCCCCTCAACGATTATGATTATCTTGGTACTTCCTACGGAAATCTGCCTGAAAGTCTTCTACCCATACGTCGATTTACCCAAGCCATAATAATGAATTCCTCCCTTGCTCCACTCATTCGATCTTTGGAGCTTTACCCTAGCGACTGTAAGGAGGGAAGATGGGAGCAACTACCCCCTTTAGAAACATTGCCTGAAGAAAGATATCGCCACTTCATGTTACCTTACGGGGAGTCCAAGCGTAAGCACCGCCGAAAGCTTTATGCCTGGCGCAGAGACCTCAAGGAAGATTCCGAGCGGTCCGACTACCATCGGGCGCTCCACCACTATGAAAATGCCTGGCTAGCTCTGCTGTTAGTCCAGCTGCGGAATCTTGAGAAGCTCGGGGTTGCTCTTCCGGAAGAGAGATGGGTCTTGGGATATGAGGACGGACCGTTTCCTCCCAGACGTTCACCTCACTTTGAGCGGGTCATTGCATGGGCGAGTCATCCCAAGTTAGGGGTTTTGACCAAGCTCAAGCAAATCGCACTAAAGAACGGGCCTTGCATCTGGGAAACTGGAATCTCAATAAATGCAATCCCCCTGACCCGATTACTTCCCTTTCTTCGGATTCCTTCATTACGGAAGCTATACGTCTCAAATCCATGTGATCGATCTCTACTTAGCATGCCAAAAGATCTTTCCACCATTGCACTCACACATCTGGATTTTGAGGCACCCAAAGAGGCAATGCCGAACCTCCCTCGTTTCCTCGAGCGATGCTCCGCGCTCGAGTCATTCACCATACAGCAAAAGGTCCATAATGGAAACTATAGTCAGTACAAACAAGACTTACATCAGCTGTACCAGTCTTTGCAAAGGTCGCGCTTCTCAATTCGCCACCTGAGTTTGACCTTACATGATCAGGGCGTTTGTCGGGACACAAAAATTCCTGCACCTGTTTTCTTTGGGCCATTGTCGAAATTTCCGAGGTTAGAATCCGTTCATATACGGTGGAGTAACCTCTTGCAAATCCCTGAAAGTAGGACCACTACCCCGATAACACCACTCTGGGCACTTTTCCCCTCCTCGCTCAAGCACTTGTTCATCGATCAATGTCTCCTTCACTGCTCAGAGGTACTATACACCGAACTAGTGACTCTAGTAAAACACTACCATGCTCACCTACCCTCCTTACGGAAGCTATATCTTCGATTTGCCGAGCGAGAGCGAGCTCCGACAAGTCTCCCCAAAGACTTACGGACGAAGAGAATGACATCAGAACGTGCCAATCATGACAGACTACTTGAGTTACGGCTGGACTTCGGTGCTTTGGGCGTCGATTTCAGGATTTTTCAAGGAGATGAGAAAGTAACCTTTGGCCAGGAGTATTCCATAAAAAATAAGTGGCCAAAGGGGAAAGATGGCAAGGTTTTTGTCCTATGAAATTCTGTAAGAGGAAGGTGTGATTCTACCTAGGTGGTATCTAATAAAATTTGAAGGCCCACCATGGCCGGTAGTCGGAAAACGATATAGAAATCTCATGCAGTTGACTTTAGTTATACAAAGCTCTTCCTGACTCGTAGGGGTCAAAATACACCAAGTTCTTCTTCATAACAAAGGCCAAAGCCAGGCCGTTCCATCGATCTTAGTCACAAACTAGATACTGCTCAACTGTTTTCGACCCATCAATAGTGACCAAATCGAAACTTGAGGAGAATCCACTCCAGGCAGAAACATAATGGATGGACTAGTAGATTTAATCAAAATGAGGTATGAGCCAGGGACCTCGAATTTTAAATGGGGGCCGAGAGAGGGTTCAGGGCCTCTTGTCATGTGCGTCGGCTGGAAATCCATGCGGGGCGCGCCAAGGGTTCGGCGCGGACAAAAAAGCCTTAGCAGAGCTTGTCTTCTCTTAGCTAGTAGCAACAGACTTTCTGGACTACACCTCATGTCACAAATGCTGTTGGCGTTTTGAAGCAAAGAACCACTTAATTGCCACAGCGACGATAAACTGCGCTCCATGTTATCTTATTCAACTGGAAAATAACGCAACCAGTGTCTACTTATCTCGGTGCTCATGTCAAGTACAGCCGGCGTCGTGCCTAGCTCAGCGTTTGGATTGCGCCGATGCGGCGAGCCCCACTTAGAGGACAGGCCTCATTTGAGACCCCAATTTCCCTTATCTCGCCACCGTTGTGCTTCATGGAACTATCGAATGCTAGCCGAGACCTCAACCCCAAACGGGTGTTCGCCTCTCCTAGAGCCGCAGCTCCGTAATTTAATTCCAGGGACTACGGATCAAATTTTTTTCTCTGGACCAAAAGGGTTTCTACCGAGCATAGACCTAGTCCCAAAGTAGATCACACTTCCGGTGCTAAGGCTAAGACCCTGATCGGGCATATCGCTAGGCATAATACCTTGTTGGGGTCATCTGGAAGTCGAGCGGGACAGGGTGAGAAACAGAGCCTGGGGATCGAACCAGAACTTTCCCATTTCCTTCTCTTCCATGCGGTGTTTTCAGTCTCGTTCTACTCCGATATATGTTCTTCAATTACTACTACTCATCCCACACCCCCTACATTTTTACCATACAGACAAACCTGCGACTTTAACCGCCATTACGTTAACCCACGATGAAGCTTTCTAGCTATTTCATTTCCCTCCTGTTCGCCACTGCCGGTAACACATATGCCAGCTGCCTGGATCATATCTCCGCAAATACAATGGGTATTTTCAGCGGTGCCCCCTTCGCCTTTACTACCAATTACGAAACCGGCTCACAATGTGCAAGCTACTGCGATAGCCTTGCAGAATGCACGTCTTGGCTCTACAGCGTGAGAGGGGGCGAATGCCAGCTGCACAAGGGCAGTCCTCTATCAACATTCTCGTCTCAGCATTTTATGTATGGTGTTTGCGATGGCCATAGCCATGTTGCTACACCATCTGGCGGCTCATCTGTAGCTGCGCTAGCTTCACCGAGCGCCAGCGCTGTCTTTTCCGCAAATGCCGGTGAAACTCCTGCTCTGCATGTATGTTGACCATTCCATGCTCTGGACTTCTACCATATACCTTGCTAATGTATCCGTAGAAAAGGCATCCTCATCAGTACCATCATCAACATGGTCATCATCTTTGATTTCAAGAATGCCGCAATTCCCGGTTATTTGAGCGTGTGGGGATGTGCCTCTAAATACGTAGCATTTGGCTAGAATGCTGCTTGTGATCCGTAATTTTTATCCTTGCCTTCTGGGTGTGCCGATTTTTATAATGCACATCTACATTGAAGTTGTATCATATTGGTTGGGAATATTACGTATAGTATATACTAGATCGCCCGCTATATACTATAGCTCGACGCACATCTGGGCTGTAGTGAATAATAGCAAGCCCAGACCAATCCTCGATTGCATTACATATCGTTTAGAAGCCTAGAGAAAACTTAGAGAAGACATACCCTTAATACGTCTAGCCCAATATTACCACTTGCACAGGTGTTGGGTCAATCCTAAAACAAGTGGGAAATACTCACAGGTATCAAGTCCTTGTGTGTGGCAAGCTTTGATCATATGGGTATGTTTGATCGAGATGTTCAGCAAAACATACGCATTTACGTTTGGCTTCTGTACGACCCCACTTTAATTGTGTAATATACTGCACATGTAAACTGTGAATAGACTTGTAGTTTTAGAAGAAACGACAGTATGACACGATGAAGCGACGTTACTAGTTCTTGATAATAGACCATCATCATTTACCCAAGGGATAGAGCCAGCATTACATTCTTAACGGTGTTGGGCAGACGACCATTGTGACCTGTTGATGCAAATCAACCTCTTGATCGAACCGAGGCCGGTATTTCCATTATATGAAATCAACTTTCTTAACAGTATAGTTATCCGTGCAAATACGGAACAGAGGGGCATATATCCTGACAGAGAAATAGCTTACCTATAAAGGACTTCAAGACACCCTGTCGGTAGCTGATCAAGCCTCTCTGCGGTAGATATTTCCCTTGTTAAGCCGCTTGTCAATGTTCTCAGGATCGGTTTCATCAAGCTGGCGGTATTTGATATCGCCAAAGACACGCTTGTCCAGACTCTCGGGGTCGGTCTCATCAGAGTCGCGGTAGACAATTGTCCTGTGAAGCCGCTTGTCCAGACTCTCAGGATTGGTCTCGTCGGAACTGCGATAGTTGAGATTGGCATATTTACGCTTGTCGAGGCTTTCAGGTTCAGTCTCATCAGACCTGCGGTAGACAATGGCCCTGTGAAGGCGTTTGTCCAGACTTCCTGTTTCAATGTCATCAGACTTCCGGTAGACGATGGCCCTGTGGAGACGCTTGTCCAGACTCCCAGGGTCGGTGTCATCGAGCTGGCGATATTTGATATCACCAAAGACGCGCTTGTTAAGACGCTCAGGTTCATTCTCATCAACGTCACGATACAGAAGGTTACCCTTGAAAAGCCGCTTGTCAAAATCTTTGGGCCTGTCGCTAGCAGGCGACAGTTGCTGATGGCTGTCCGGTTCTTGAGGGGGAAGTCCCACGGCAGCCCCAATTGAGCCGGTGCCGAGAAGTGCAATCATAGCAAAGACAGGAGTAAAACGCATGCTGAGGATGGCAGAGTGTAGTGATTTGGTATAATTCTTGTGGTTATCAAAGCAGGTTGTATGAATGCTTTGAAAGTTTGGATGGCTGGGTTCGATGGTTGTAGGTTAAACTGAGAGGAGTCTATAGAGTGCTCATATTTATATTCCGGCACCCAAAGGTTGCACTGTGTATGGATACAAGATCTCCTGAGGAAATTTACATGCATGAATAGCTGTCATTTGATCCGCAAGTACCCCAGTGCCCTAGTAGTGCTATTGTGTTACTGTGCTACATGCCGAAGTACGTAAGGCCCATCCTTGTCTCACCAAGTACAACACAAGGATTTCCAACTACCCCTCGTATGTCCTCGGGTGAAGCATATTGAGCGACCTGTGTGTTTCTTAATAAGATTATGATGACACTTAAGCTATGCTAATAAGCTTGAAGTTCGAGTAATGCCCATGTTATCTAGACCGCACTATACAGCAGGATAGAAGCGAAGATTTGTATTCTGAATTTACTGGTATGTGAGCATGAAGAGATTTTCCCATATTCCTATTAATTAGGTTCTACAAGATGCTCGATGCATTTGCTATCTATCCATTGCACTGCATCAACTCCGTTAGATACATTCCTGATCCGAAATAATCCAACCCCTCACTTGTAAACGACCACCCGACCACCCGACCACCCGACCACGTCCCCGAACGACCCCAACATAGCTAGAAGCCCTTGTGGACTTTGAACAGAGTAATTTTGGCCCTACCTTTCGTGAGCACTGTCAGGTGTCGATGTCTCAACCCCTGGCTTCCTATACGGTTACACGGCTAAACGGCAGGGTGCGTACTAAGCATATGTAGGAATGAGTCGGAGATATAGGTAGGGGGCTCATAACCCCGCACGAAGAGAAGTTAGAAGGAAACGACATTTGCCTAAAGGGGATGTGGAAGGACGGGTCCGCATACATGTCAGGGATAGGGTGACAATAGTGAAATGTTGAAAGTGTGACAGAGCGTGTCGATCTGCTCAAGTGCTCAGGTGGTGCAATTCATACAGATAATGTGTAATCTTCCTTTAGCGATCGAAACCCTGACGTTTACTGCGCTGACGAGGGCGTAACGTTCTCCATGCCTCTATTTATCTTGAAAAGGTCTCTTGTGTGCGCAAATCTGGTATCTCTCAACGTGTATCGCTCACAAATCAGCGTATCCCTACGGCCAATTAATGGACTTTTCATTGATGAACGATAATATTTCCCGGTCCCAGAAAGAGGAGACCGATGATGATGAGGAGCAGGCTACTGAAAAGGCTGGTCTACTTCACCCAGAGCCATACCAATTGCCCAGGGAGGAATATAGACAAAGTTTCAGTTATTGTGTTCCGGTCCTCGTGTGTGTGAACATATGTCTGGTGGCTCTTTTATTTGGTGCTATACATTTACTGCACAGACAATATTCCTTCCATACGGGGCCCGATCCTCCATATTGTAAGTCAAAAAAGTACATGGATCCGGGAACAAAGGCTGACCATGAAAAACAAGCTCCGTTGCGTGACGATGGCGTCGTTCAGTATATCAACATGAAATACGAGCCGGACCCTGAATTTCAGTCCCCAATTGTTGCGGGGAAAGAAGATCCATGGACAAGCTGGGCATTAGGTAGGACCACCGGAGTCGAAGAGCCTCGATGATTGGGAAGCTAACCAGCTACAGAGAACGATAATGGATTTAAGATGGATATAGAGACAGCCAAGAAGAATGGCTTACCAAAGTCTGTGGATTTATACAATGATCCCGGATATCTTGTATACGGATTAGGGGTATACCATCAACTACATTGTCTCAATCGCCTTCGAAAATCATTTTATGCGGATGTTTTGTATCCAAATATGTCTGCGGAGCAGGTTGAGATACATAAGAGTTCGTATTATCATGCTGCCCATATTGTTCCCTCATCATACTCAACTAATTCTAACGCAGATCATTGCTTTGATGCCATTCGCCAGGCTATTTTGTGTCATGGTGACATCTCGTTAATCTACTGGGTGGATCCCAACTATACGTATATTGACGATGACGGCACAGAGCGGTATACGGAGGACTACCTACATATGACCCCTATGGAACGGCAGGTGAGACTTCATGCTTCGTGGAGCTCTGAGGTTCAATATCGTGATATGGATGCGATAAACTCCTGGGTGAAGGGACGTATGCTTGATCCTGACAAATATGGAGGCAGGGAAGGGGATTGAGAAAAGTAATCTCTGCCAGATAACATGATCCCGAGAGAAGTTATTTGACTGGCTTTAAATAAATAACTTGAATCTTTGAACTTGTGTTACAGACCCACGTAAAGAAACGCTTTGCACTGGCATGGAAAATGTTGTGGAAGAGATGAAGAGGCTTCTCGCAGGCCAAACTTTACATAATCTATGATAGATGCAGAACCGTGTTCGAATTATCGGTCCAGTCAAGCGGACATAGACATTCGCCATGGAAGCGTCAGGCAAGAAGCTATATTGTACAAGCGGAACCTTTTTTATGAGGTCAGGTGCCTGAAATGGCTTCATATCTTCCAGTAGTAGGACTTTGATGACACACAAAGTCCAAATAGCGGACGCTCTGAGTATTCAGCAGATGCCCAGAAGAGCTTCACCGTTTCCCTACTTTAGAAGATACGTCTGTAAGAACCTGGCCTGTACCGGAGCATTTTTATCGAAGAGTTGCCCATTATATGGGTCAAAATGCCCCCCCGGAAGAATGTGCAACTGCTTGGGCTCCTTTGCTCTTGCGAAAGCATCAAGCGCAAGGTCGGTAGGTGTGACAACATCATTATCCATCACAATCATCAGCAACGGAGTAGGGCTGATACGTTCAATAAGCGCTGAAGGTTCGTATGCTCGGAATGCCTCGAGGCTTTTTTATGGTTAGACCCATTCTCTACATTCCAGTTACTCAGAAACAAATTGTGCCACATACCTCTTAAGTGTCACATCATTTACCCACCCTAATGGTATTCCTGAGCTGTAGCCGATATAGCTGTCCTCGGAAGGAAGAATGGAAAAGGCGTGAGGATCTTTGTTTACCACGGGCACCCGAGCCGGCTCTTCTCCTCTGGCACAAGCAAGGCGATCTACGGCCCCGGTTTCAAGCTCGTCAGCAGGACAGGCGTTTTCTCACTAGCATTGTATCTATTGAAGGGATAGGAAACTGACCTTCTTCGAATAACTTGTTTAGGCTCGGAATGAAGTCAGCTCTGTGTATACGATGGAAAGTATCCCATCCACTAGTGAGAGGGCTATTCACACGCATGAAATTTTAGCCAGGACCAGATCAGACGTAAGATTATAGGTTAGACTTACACTTGGCTAATAACAGCTTTAACTCGACGATCAACCGCGCCAACTGTGAGAACGTGGCCTCCACTGTATGAACTTCCCCAGATAGCAATTTTGTCGGCGGCAACCTCTGGAAGAGATTGTGCAAAAGTGATAGCATCGGAATAGTCGCTTATTTGTAAGGCAGGGATGATTTCTCGTCTTGGTTCTCCATCGCTGGCTCCGATACAACGATGATCATAGGCAATTACAGCGACTGGCAGGTTCGAAGTGAAATACTCCGCAAAGCTACCTAGGTTGAATTCTTTATGGGCCGCAAAGCCGTGCGCCATTACCACACACGGAAGCTTTCCATCGAAGGAGCTGGGAGTGAAGACCCAACCTCGAAGTGTGAGGTGGTCAGACGTTTTGAATGCCACATCGCGGATAGGCATTGTGAAGAAACTTTGTTTGAGTCGATTTTCACCTAAAATCTGTTTTCCAATACATGTATTTGAGAGAAAGGATGGGCTAGTCTCACTGGAAGGATCTCGGGTGGGAGGAAGCCGAAGAATGAACCCTACTATAGTGCTGTGAGTAATATAAAGGCGTGAATAGAGATGCCAGCTAAGGACTGTCTGCCTTGGGCAGTTAGTATCGGCCTATCTATCTAATCAGGATGCTTATTATTTGATTACTGATCTATCCAGCAATGATTACCTATCGATCCGTCGCTCATCGTATCTATGAATTTCTCCGAGCTCCTTCCGAGGCCGTATTCGCATCCAAATACCCACTGTCCAGCATGATCGGCATTCTGAGGTATTAAGAAAAGCCGAGGGGATTACCAGCTGTATGTGGGGGCATGCCCTCAGGTATTCAATGACCCATGTAAGAAGCAACTCCAGGTATTATGGGGAAAGCAATTTTAGCTTGAGATGGGCTCAGCTACATTTATAAGGTAACGTTTGACGGCAAAGTCCTCGTAGTTTAACATCTGTATCAGTTCTCTTCCTGGCTCTGCCATTGTCTACTTTGAGACCCTACTAAAGTTTCTCGCTTATAACCACATACTTACTCAAAATGCCCCTTTGGCTCATTTTTCACCCCTCCGGCATTTTCGAGGACACCGCTTCCAAGAAAGCTTTGACGGAAGACATCACCAAGATATACACCGGAATCGGTCTTCCTGCATTCTATGTGGTCATCAACTTTATGAAACTTCCCCCCGGAGATACCTGGGTCGGCGCTGAAATCAGAACGGACAAACCATTCATTCGCATTATTGCTGACCACATCGCCGTTCGACTCGACAATGATGACCAAACTTATAAGGCTACATGCGAGGCGATTGGCAAAGCCCTGAAGCCTCATATTGCCGATAGAGGTTACGATTGGGAATTTCATGTCGATGAGACCGAAAGGAGGCTATGGCGGGTCAATGGATTAGTTCCTCCTCCGTTTGGAAGTGATGCGGAGAAGATTTGGGCAAAGGAAAACAAGCCGGTCGCTTGGGAAGGCGCTTAGCCTGGCTGTGTGGCTGAAACATTGGTCTCGGTTGCAAGCTATTTCAAGAACAGAGTTGGTAGATTGCTCTCTTTACCTTCGGTTGTTTGGCATGGCAAGGTCTGTCGTCAGGCAAGCTGCAGTCAGTCATTTCGTTCTACAGTTATTTAACTCGGATTATTACAACTGTGAACATATTACATGTCATTTAGCTACTTTCTGGGTATAAAACAAATAGTGGGATTTGGTGCAATGTCTGTTATGTTGTCCTAGATTTGTATTGTTCCTCCCATACTAAGTCTAAACTTGTCAGTCACGATTGTATATCTCTGAGCACAGAATTATGGGCGCCTGTATAGAATAATTAGTCCAAATGTCAGAATTTCCCGTTCTACGACATTGTGACACCTATTCATTCTCTCAAGACCAATCTCTGCGAGGTTGGTGGTGACCTTGTACATTCCGCCGGCAATTATTTTGACGGGTATCTCTGAGTAGTTTAGAGACATAACTCAAATATTTCACCATAATCGGCCGCCTACCAAACGTTGCGCGAAACTATCGCATACCTAGAGATCATATTATTGCTGTAGTATTTTCCGTTGTCCTTAATTTGTAGATCATCACTGGTATAAGATCTGCGTTAATCAGGTGGACTGCCAAGAACCTGTACATATTGAATCGGCTAGGATAACGGAAAGATTAGTGATCGTTTTTAAAGGTTCCGAGACTTGCGCCACTTGACTAGTTAGACGTGACCCACCAAGCCCGTCTCATCTTGAGGTTGAGTTGATGGGTCCGGCGGGTTGTTGAGATGATCAAAGTTGGCGGGGGCCCGGTTCGTCTGGGGGCCGGAGAATCGCATTCTATTGCGTCTTCAGGTAGCTACATAGTTATGTTAACGAATAATTCAATCCGAGTCCGAGGTGGGTTCGGAGGATCGGATGTTCAACAAAAATAATAGGAGCCAAGTAGAGCATAAATTCGAATGCTCCCGACGCCCTGCTAAGAACCATCGATTCCAATTCTTCTAATCGTATCTTTGACTCCTCAGAGGTGATACTTGGAACATCATGTCTAGTTTGAGAGTGTCTGTTCATACAGCGCCGCCAATCCCTTGTGTCGACCATGTTTCACATCGGCAGAATACCACATGGTCTCCCGAAACCTGCACACTGATTTACTCGGAGAATGAAGCTGTTCTTGTTGATACTGCGATCACAATCAACCAGAACAAGGACTTGGTCGAATGGATCGAGAAGACTGCACCGGGTCGAAAGCTCTCCTATATCTATATCACTCACGGCCACGCGGACCACTTCCTTGGCCTCCCGTTGCTGTTGCAGCACTTTCCAGAAGCGAAAGCAGTAGCAACCAAGGCGACTGTCCGTCATATCGAGCAGCAAATCTCCGAAGAGGGGTTCTCGGCGTGGCTTGCGTTTTTCCCGGGAGATCAACTTTCTACCCAGCACCGGCTACCGGAAGCTCTCCCAAGCAATAATAAATTTTTACTAGAAGGCCGATGGGTTTTCGAGGCAATTGAGTGCGGCCATTCCGACACATTTGACTCAACTGTACTGTGGGTCCCAGACCTGCGGTTGGCCGTCTGTGGAGATGTGGTATATGGCGATGTTCACCAGATGCTTTTCGAAGCGAACACCCCAGAGAAGCGAGAAGAATGGATCAGAGCGGTTGAGAAGGTTGAGGCACTTAATCCCGTCTATGTGGTGCCCGGTCACAGGAACGCGGACGAAATGGATGGCATATGGCATCTGGAAGCAACCAAAAAGTATATTAGAGACTTCATGGGTTTGTTAGAACAGAAACCTCAGACCGTAAGCGAATTGTACTATGCTATGATTGCGAAGTATCCTAATAGGTTTAATCCTATGGTCTTGGGTTGGGGCTGTGCTGGTGCCCATCTGTCTGGTGAAGTTCCCTTAGCCACCTGATAGACATCACGAGTTAGCGGATAGCATATGTATTTATCGCGAATCGAATGTTACTCATTTCGTTACCTAGTTTATGTGGTTAATTTTTTCATTATATTTTATCAGTTTTTCCGTTGGCACAAGTTTTGCCTGTCGGTACGGACTTGATTGTATCATTTAGTAGAACTGATATTTCTAATGAAGGGCTCAAAAATATAGTAACGCTTTCATTGAGCTTTCTAATCATGTGAAAAGAAGAATAGATGGCCAACCCGGCATATCCAGACCGTCAAGTCACTAATACGGATTCTTGGATATTGAGATACCTTCCAAACACAAACTAAATGTCCTTGAATTATAACCACAACTCACTCGAGTGGCAAGCGGGCTATAACCCGAAATGACTGGAACCCTAGACTAGGGAACTTCGTTGACAAACTTCTCCATATTCAATACCCACGCATGCCAAGTTCATTCCACCTGGTGTCTCCACGCCGTCGTGGCTCGTCCATGGTACGCCACGACTGGGAGCCGATCAGTCGGTTTCAGATCGTCAATAGACGTTGGAGACGGTGATTTATAAGCGGCATGGAAGGATCCGATCACCGAGTCTACGGGCCCTGAACCCTATTGTAGGCCGCCGTATGACAATAACCTGTTAACTGCGCTAGGAAATTACGTCACCAGAACGTGCGCCACCGAGATGCTTGAATACCGGAATTCAATGGGGATCTATCATTTGTCGCGATACTCAATGTAGACAATTTAATGCAGTTTAGACTGTTTTAGATAACTTGAGTCAGTCGGTGGGAATCCCGGGTGTTCCATTGGGTCGGCCGGAACGACTAATCAATCGGGATCCACTTTGACATTGAATGAAGATTAATGATCTTAGCCGAGCGAGAGATGTTCGGAGTTTGGACATGATAGTTAGTCAGTGCTGATAATCATTCGTACTAGTTCGTATACACTTTAGTATGTATGTCGAAGCAAATCTCGGGATTGATCAGTAATCATTGGCAAAATATGCTTACCTCCCACTGCATGGACAAAACTTATATCTCAACGTAATGGCAATCTTTGATACTATCGAAGCATCAGTATATGTTATTTGAAATCGCTCTCTCAATTACATTGGAGAAAATCTTCGAGACACGCATTTCCTTTCCCTTGCATAAATCCCAAATCCCCTACACAAGATGCCAGATTGGAGGATATACCATCCAACTGGAACCTTCACAAGTCCCGATCAGAGGGAAAACTTGTCAAAGGCAGTAACTTCCATATATACTGACGTTGGGTTGCCGGCATTTTATGTGGTTGTCCTATTTATTGAGATGCCACCCGCTACCATGTACCGAGCCGGAATTTCATGCGTAAGTTGGCGAGGAACCCAGCGATAATCTAGTTACTGACACGATGTGTTTGAGAAGTCGGGGGAAGGGACGAAGCCTTTTGTTAGGCTTACATTCAGCCATATCGCAAGGCACTTTCCTCCGGGAGAGAGCCCTATGCGAACTCGTTTCATGAATAAAGTACATGAGACTTTGAAGCCGTTTATTGCAGACGAAGGCTACAACTGGGAGGTCAACGGTGAGGAGCTTGAGCGCGAATTTGTCCACGTCAATGGTTTCAGAATCCCTCCTACTGGGTCTGAGGATGAGAAGAGGTGGTTCCGTGAAAACGAACCGTCGCCTTGGGGACCTTACCTTACGGAGTAGCTTGTGACTAGTTCGACTATATTACATCCTCGTCAGTCTGGACCTCTGAACACACTATGTATTCCATAACACTGAAATAATTCAACTCGTTCTGGGAAACCTCGATCTGTCTGTTGAGTATGGTTGGACAAATGTAAAGCAATTGAATAAATAAGGCAAATGTGAGCACCTTTTGTCTTGGGTGCCAACTGAAGATGGCCCTTGAACATCCAACAGATTCAAGGATAGTACGACAGTTTCAGGCTGTAGTTGCACTTGCAAATTTGTCTTGGATAGACTTGGAGGGTCGTAATTGAGTTGTGTCTATTAGTCTAACCCAATCCTAAGTACCCTCCAGAGAATATTTACGAGACAGGATCTGTTCTCTGTAGTGATTAAACACGGAGGATAGGGAAAAGAGTCTAAGAATTCTTAATACTTACAATATAATAACAAATCAAGACAGATCCAATTTGTAGCAGTATTATACAGTACCGCATCTTATTAACCTGATCCATACTATGAGCAGCCTCGGTAGGCTGAAATAATGTAATCAAGCTTGGGAAGGGTTGACAATGGATTACTTAACTCTTATTTAGCGAGACTGCCTAAATGAAAGGAAATGAACATTGTACCATCGCCTCTATCAATATGTTCATCATATTGAAGCACCCGGCTCAATGATCTTTCGTCCAAATCTACATCTGCAATAATGGTCCCCCTCGTGAAACCATTGAGTTCCGAGCTTGTGCTAGTACTGTCTTCCCAGGATGGTTCTATCCCCAAACTGAGAAATTACCAAGTGTGATCATGACTCACGGGGTGCGTACTACCTAGTGTATCCAGGTGCTAGATCAACTGGAACAATTCAGTCTTCCCCACTCCTATGAAAGTGGCTAATTCCCGTCTATTTTGCACAACTAGCTGGGTGGTGTTCGCCACTGTTGGCTCCCTGAGTTTGCGGAGCGGTTCCAGCGAGCCGGGTACAATGTACTAATCTATGATAATCGGAATTAGGTCGACAGTGATGGACTACCCCGGCAAGAGTCAAACCCGACCCTTCGACAAGCCGACTACTACGATGCGTTCAATTTTGCAGCCTCACTCCAAAGTGTGGATGATACGCGCATAGTATATTGGGGCACGAGCTTCTCCGGAGGCAATTTTCTATATGCAGCAGCTGTGGACAAACGAATCAAAGCTGCAATCGCACAGTGTCCTGCAGTCTCTGGAGAGACGCGGTCTTTGGCCTTTAAAGACCGCATCTCGAGCATCTTGAAAGAGCGTTCTCGTATCACAGCTGGATTAAAACCAGAACGGATTCCACTGATCGCGGAAAGTTTAGAAGGAGCGGAGTCTGGCAATACTACTGCCATGTTCCACGGTGTGCACGCTTTCGAGACAGTACGCGGTTCATACAACTGTGGTGGTCTTTGGGAAAATTCTGTCACGGTACAGATACGGCTCAATATGCTTGAATTCGAAGGAAAGGGCATGCTGCATCGTATATCGCCGACTCCGCTCCTGATGGTTGTTCCTGGTAATGATGTCCTTGTTACCACAGCATCTCAACTGGCTGCCTATGAAAATGCCAGGAAACCAAAGCAGCTCTTTTATATTGATGGCGCCGGGCATTTTGATATCTACACTGGGGATTGGTTTGAACAGAACATCAAAGGACAGATTGAGTTTGTAAAAGAATGGCTAGGCTCCCAAGACATGACAGGTGCAGCCATTTTAGTTAGATTACCAGACCTTGTCATGTAGAAAGAGATTTGATTGAACCCTGACTTTGTCCTTTCTGTCTGTGCTACATTTATGTCCTTCAAAAGGCAATTCATGAGCCTACTTTATCAAACACAGAGGACCATTTTTCGTCGATTGTACTACACTTGAAGGTAAGAAAGTATTCATCTGATAAGACAGCAGCCCAGTCGTGTGTATCAGTGATTTGGGGTATGGGATTCATTTCAAGACTTCGAGTTTGCAATCTCTAGCACATGCGCAGAGGGTTGCGAAGAGCGACCTCTGCTACTCAGTGCACATACATACATCCCTTTTGGTGGTAACACCGCAGTATATTTTTCGTGCAAATCGCTTCATGAGTTCTATAATATTCTCTTAATCATGCTAAGCTCATGCCATCATGGTGCATATACCAGGCCACTAGGCCACTAGTTACTCAATCAACATTGAGACCACACATAGATCATTTCTTCACGAGTGTTGCACCTCCCCATAGCGAGCCGACATTCAATCTCGTAGGGTGTAGTTCCATCATTTGCGAATATAATTCCTCAGGGGTGGATGTTTGTCTATCCAGTCGCGCGAAATCATTCAAATATTCCTTGGTTGTTTGGACGGCATCCGGGGAGAATTCTTTAGATGGATCACTATGGCCGCCGACGACAATCCTTGGTTGAAGGGCCGCAATCTTATCAAGCGCTGCCACCCAGCGCGATCTGGCCTCTTGGGACTTCGATTCTCCCAGGTATGGGTGGGTATTGTTGTAGACTGCGTCGCCCGCAACAACCAAGCCAATTGCAGGAACCCAGAGAGCTGTTGTGTCATCTGTATCCGTATGTCCCAGCCTGACCACTTCCAATCGCTCGTTCTCCAGCATGAAGTGGTCCTGTTCGAGCGGGGTGGCGATTACCAGCTTGTTTGGGATCTGCCCAGGGAAAAGATTTCTTCAAAATGAGTCCAGGCCTTCCGGGGATATGGCCTTTGCCATTCCAGATACAGTCTCCGGCGTAGCCACGACTTTTGCGTCCGGGAATCTCTCAAGAATGGCACTGGTACCGTAGAAATGATCGCCATGGGCATGAGTGATATAAATCGTCGTAAGGTTTTTCCCAGTTCCTACTACCCAGTCTACCAGGTCTTTCGCAGCAGCCATGGTTAACTGGGTATCGACCAGGACTGCATCTCTCTGGCCAAATATCAATGTCGAAGTGGTCGGCACCCACTTGAGATGATCATGACCAGCTGGTGTGGTCCGGCTCACACCGGGACGTCTGCTGGTGAAGACTTTGTAGTCGAGACCCATAATATAGAGAGTTCTAATATAATTGACTCTGGTAGGTGAGAAATTGAACAAAGACACTTAAGAAGAGGTTTTGAGGAACTTATGTGGAAGCTGGTCTCATTTTTTAGAACTGCAGCCCAGGTATCAGCGAAGAATTGGGTGGTTAGGATTACTGATCATTGACCTCGGGAGCGAATATTCGACCCACAAGAATTCATCTATAGGTTGGTGACATCGGCTATTGAGAACACTGCTTTGTAGTATCCTTAAAGCCAATGATAAAAATACCAGAAATTTTGTGGCTCGGCAACATGACGAATCATGTACTGCGATAACAGCACAGTCCGTTCGGCTCCCGGTAGTGAGGCCTATTTACTATCTATAAGATGCTTGCGAATAACTACACATCAATACGGATCAAACAAGGGGGCGCTCTCCTTCTATACCGCAGTTCTTTTCATTTGCCTCTTTTCTCCAACCATACCCCAGCTGGTAAGCTGTAGTTCCGCATCTACCTGGAATACGTCCGGACCACAGACCCCAGCTCAACAGCATTTCAATAACTATGTTGATACAGTTGACACCTAGGGCTTCAACCATGGCTCAGGCTTACGATTCTATTCCAAAAACGTCATTTTCCACAACCAGATCACTGCCCAATACAATGGTTGGACGAGATGTGGGCGTGGATGAAACATCTATTTGGACAATTTAAGAGTCTACGGCACGACTTTCACAACCTCTGGGAAGTCAAAAATGATGACGGTACAACCACGATCATATCCCAAAGGACGCGCAACATCTGGCTGCCTGGAAACGACACCGAAGAGCCGACTGTTAACATTCCGCTCAGTTGGATAAGCACTATCGGCCCTGCGGACTCCGCCGATGCTCTGGATGGATTGCAATTCAAGGAGGTCTGGCTTTACTGGGATACCGCTATGCTCGCCAAATACCTACCCAGGGAGGCTGTTGTATTCCAAGAGCAGAACATATTATGTTGAGGAGCGCTCTACGGAAGCAACCAAACAAACAAAACAAACAAACAGAAACAAAAGAATAAATTAAATTAAGCTATCTAGAAGAGTAAAATAAAGTAATACAAAGAAATATTTTATAGGCAGTCTAAGTATAATATATAATTAATCTATATAAATATCTCAACACGGCCTCCTAAGTAAAGAAATATATAAAAAAATATTAAATAAAATTATAGATATTTTCTAGATAAATAATCTTTTATATATTAAATATTATTTCCTGGATACTGCGGGGAAATAACTAATAGAATTATTTTTAATAGAATCTAGAAATTATAGAACTTTTCTTAATCTAATAATTTAATAAGACTGTCTGCAGGATTACTAATATCTATAATATATTAAATTAATATAATATTTATTTTAATTAAATTTATTATAAATAAATAATAATTATTTAACTATCTAGTAGACCGCATATATATATTATAATTAAAAATCTGTAATAAATTAATAATATTACTAAATAAAAATATTTTATTATTATTTAATATCTTAAGATTAAATACTTATATTAATTTCTTAATATATAAAATATCTTTAATAGCAGTATCATACGCGCATTATTTTATAATAATAAAGAAGAATATAATAATATTTTATTTATTTAATAATTAAATAATAAATCTACCTATATAAAAAATAATATATTTTTTTATTAATTTATTATTTTTATAATTAATATAAGCAGTATTTATATAAATCTTAATTTTTTTAATATAATTAACTACTAGAATAATTTTATAAAAAAAATATCTTATAAATATTTATACATGTATTTTAAGATCTTTATATTTATTATAATTAAAATATATATATATTTTTATAAACAGAATATAGCATAACATAAATCAGATCTAGTCTTAATAATTAACTAGTTTAATCTATCTATAAGACTTTAATATTTATTAAAATTAATTTTTTTAATTAATATTATTATATAATCTGTCTTTATATAAATAAGTATTATAAAAATAATAATATCTGAATAAAATTATATATCTATAATAATAAAATATTTTTTTATATAAGTAAACTACTTAAGTAAAATACTATTTATTTTATAATTATATAAAATATAATAATTAAATAAGATCTTCAATTTGTCTAGTTTCTTAAATCTAAATATTTTATTAAAATAATATTTTATTAAAATTAGATCTGCTTACTCAGGGCTAGTAATAATAAAATTATTTATATAAATAATAAATTATATTTTATTATTTTTATATATATACAGATTCTCCAGCAAGAATTTAAAATTAATTTCTTATAATTTTTTATTAAAAACATAGTATTATAAATATACTACTTACTATAGTTTATAAAGAGCTATTTTAAATAAATATACTTATTCAGAAGAATTCTTATAAAATTTAATTGATTATTTTATATAAACCTGCTTATCTTTTATCTAAATATATAAATAAATAAAAATAATATTATATTATTTCTAGTAGAGGCTCTTTATTATTATATTAATTATAAATATTTTAAAAATAACTTTATTTATTACTGGAGTAAAGAATTCAGTATAATTAATATTAGATATTTAATAATTACTGTAAATTATTTATTAAGTATAAAATTATATAATAATTCTCTCTATATTAATCTTTAAATTAAATATTTATTTATTTAAAATTATACAGGCGCCAGCAGGATAATTAATTATCTTATATATATTTATTATTTTAATTTTATTAATTTATATAGCTATGGCTGCCTTCTAATATAAAATAAATAAAAATAAAATAATTTCTATATAAATATTTAATATATTAATTTTATATTATTTAAATAGATAAAAGAGACAGATCAGACTTTTATTCTAGTATAATTATCTATTTATTTTCTAGCTATAAAAGACTCTTTTTTTTAATAATTTATTAAAATTATTTTAATACAGTAAATATAGCAGCAGAAGATTTAGATTTAATAAATTAAAAGTCTTATTTTATATATTTAATAGATAATATCTTATAATCATAAAAATTTTTTATTAAATAAATTAGATTAGTAGGTACAGACAGGACAGAAAAAATAGATTTAATAAATTTAATTAATATAAATATAATCTTTATTTTTTTATATATAAAGTTAGTATTATTATTTTATATAGAAAGGACCTGTATATTATTAATTATATATTTTATATTTTATAAAATTATTTTATTAAATATAATCAAGATATTCTCTGTAAATATAATTAAATTTTTAAAAATAAATATAATTACTTTATCAGGATCTTCATGATTATTTTTATATATATATTTTTTATAAAATATTATATCTCTTAATCTTTTAATTTTATTTAAAATAAAATATTAAATAAAATATATATAGCTATAATCTTTATTAAACTTAATAAAGTAGTTAATATCAGTACAAGAATCTATTTTTCTAAAAATAATACAGTCTTTTATAAATATATATTAATAATAATAATATTTAAATATATATAAAAATTTAAGTAAGACATCAGGATTTAGGAGATTATAGAATAATTTATATAAATAAATAAATATTTTTTTAATCTTATTTTCTACAGAAACTAGATAATTTAGAGTGGTTATACCTGACCATTATACCTTAACCTAACCTTAACCGTAACCTGACAGTTAGATTAAGATATAAAAATCCTCTTAACCATACAGTTAAGAGTAGATTACAGTTAAGAGATTACTTTAACTAATCTTAACTATTAGTTAGGAAGGTCAGATATACTTAAAAAATTAATAATTATAAATTAATTAATAATTTATACAGAGTCTTTATAAGAATAATATACTAGTAATAATATATTTTTAATTACTGTATTTTTAGAACAGGTATTAGATTAATTATTAATTAATAATAATCTAATTTTCTAGCTAATAATTAATAATTTAATTATTTTTATATTAAGTTTTTACAGACAATACTAGAAATCTGAATATAATTAAATTAGATTATTAGAAAAAAATATATTAATTATTATTTAAATTATTTTTTATATTATCCTGGTCAGTAGTTATAATAATAAAAAAATTATATAATTTAAATATTTATCTATATCTGGATATATATAATATTACTAAATTAAAAAAAAACTAGATCTTCTTTTTTTAATAATATTTTATTTTTAAAATTATTATTAAGATTATCTATATCCTTATTCTTACTAATATAAAAGATTATTATTAATTTATTATCTTCTTAATCCTCAGCTATAAATATAATAGAATCTAAAAAAAAATTATTAAAAATATTCTAATACTTTTTAGTAATAGTAAAGTAATTAATATATATCTAGAATATAAGAATTTTAATAATTTTAAAATATAAATAGTTCTAGTAATAGTAGCAGATATCTTAAGAATTATTAAAAAAATATTTAATATTAATTTTATTAATTATAATAGTTAAGAAGTTCTTAATTATATAATAAAAAATAAAAAACTAATTATAACAGAATTTCTAGTAAATAAGAATATCAGAATATCTAATAATTTCTAAATAATTATTAATATAAGTATAACTTTAGAAATAATTAATTTATTATTTTAATTTTTAATAATCTATATATTTTTAATATCAAAATAAACCTTGAGCTCTTTAAATATTATTATAAAAAATAAGAATTTTTAATATTTTAAAATATTATAAAAGATTTTATCCAGATCCAAGAGTATACTAAAGACTGAGAATAATATATTAATAATAAAATTCTATTAATAATAAAAATAGAAAATCTTTTTAAAGATAATTTAATATTTAAAATATTAATTAATATTATTATCTAGCCAGTGTGACGGCAAGTGACATCTCAGGGTCATGTAACTTCTGTTTTATTTGCTTTGTTTGCCTGTCTCACATGGCTTATTTATCTTTATATAATTATATATTCTTCCTGAGCTTCTTTCTTTCTTTTCTTATACTAGAAATTCTTGTTAAATAACATTAAATTTAACTATTTAATCAGTTTTTATATAATTTCTAATATTACTCTATCTTTTATTTTCTAAATTAATATTATATACTACCAGCTATCTAGCTCAGCAGCCAATATTACTTTTTATATATATTTAATAATATTAAACACAACTAAGATAAAATAATCTAACTGAGATCTAAACTAGAATAATTAATAAGAATACTTATAATAACCAGAGAAAGTTATACTGAATTAATACTAAATACTATAAATCCTTAATAATATCTAATAATCCTGCTAAAAGAAAAGTCTGATAATAGAAGAAATATTATTTATAATTAATTTTATAAACTATATATAAAGAATCTTAATAAAATCTTTAATATAATCTTTTATATTATAGAAAAAATAAAAATAAAAATATATAAGGCTGTCCGCTAGCAGGATAAGCTTAATAATAATTATAATAAAATAATATATAAATATAATCTATATATTATCTAATTTTTTTAATTTAATAACCAGAGCAGCTGAGCAAAGAAGATCTTTAAATTTAAAAAATTAATAAAAATTTTTAATCTATCTCTGTTTAATAATAATAAAATTATTAATTTTAAAGACTAGCTTCTTGTAATATAGCAGAAGCTAGAAGTTAATATAAATTATCTAAATATAATTGCTGTCTAATAAGCTTATATAATTAATTATTATAAAGATAATACTAGAAAATATCTAATTTTCTGATTTTATTCTGATATTTTAAATTTTTATATAAATATAACTGATATACTTAAATATCTGAAAATTATTTATATTAATCTAAATAAATCTTGTAATGCGCGCCGACAGTATCAGAAATTTAAAATAATAATTAATAATAAATTTTATAATTTTATATTTATATTCTGCTACCTTATTATAGAGACAGATATTATTAAAATTTATTAAAAAAAAAATTTCTATTAATATTTTTTATTTAAATTACAGGAGCTGACAATGTTCCGCTTTAATAATAATAATATAATATTTAAGTAATATATTAAAGAGT